CCCATCAGCGCCAGCATTTTCCGAAGCAGCGCGTCGCTCCAAAGTCGGTCGCGCCCAAATCACTTCCCCAGACCGATGGGCAGGGGTATAAAACGCTGATCCAACCAGGCCCTCGGGATCACGCTCATTGGCAAGCCTTCGACGGCCTGTGAACATCTGCCTGGGACTCAGCTGGTCTCCCACACGAGCACTACTGAGGCTCGCCGCGCTAGCGCAATCACTATGGGGTGATTTTCGAGCGATGTCCGCCAGGCAGTGCAAAGTAGCTATGCATAGGTCGGACATGTCCCCCTATACAGGCGGGTTTGGATGAACAGTCAAACATGCTCCAAACATACTCCAACCATATTCAATCATAGATAGAAAAGATCGTCCCCAGACTAGTGTTTGACTATTTTTGAATGTTCCTCCTGTAGAGGGACAGGTCTGACTTAAAGCTATGACGAGATTCTCGGCATCCTGCGGTGCATGAAACAATGTGGGCCAGATCGTGCCCATAAGTCGGGCCCTGATCGAATACCCTGGTCCAGGTGCTAGGTGCACAGCCCCGTGCGCCTCGCGCTGCAGCTCTTGAAACACCTGCTGAGACGCCGATCCGTCAACCACTTGCTCACAACCTCTGGTGCACTCCAAGCATTCTTCAATCTCAATCTCCTGACCTTCAAAGTTCTGGAGGATGGAGTCGAAGTGCCACGAGGGAGGGGGAGCGTCGGGCTGAGGCAGGATGAGGCGGGGCCAGAGACAACGCTCCTGCGGTGGGGCGGTCCTGGCAGTGTCTATCAGATCCTGACTGGCACGTTCCAGGCGCCGCTCGTCCATGGTGGGGTGACGACGACGCCACTGCCGATGGAACAACAAGGGCAGGCTCGCTGCGCAGCTCACGCAGACACCGTCGTGCACGTGCCCACGCCCGGCGAGCCTGCCGCCCATCCACACAGCACCGGACAAGGGAGCAGCGAGCCAGTCTGTTTGCCGAGGCGTGAGCTGCTTCGACCTGCAACATTTGGCGATGGGGTCGGGGCGCACGCGAAGCGGATCGAAATCTACAAAATCCGTCGCCGTCCTTCGCTCGAGTGCCCGTTGCACTCTGGCCTCCAGCTGCTTGGCGACGTTAGTGGGAGAGGAGTGCTTGGGATCAGCCACGATGTCACGGTCATCTCGCCACTGCGCAAAGTTATACGCGCTGCACCAGATGCGGTGGAGGGGGCGGAGCATTCTGTGCATGGGTCGTCGCGACTTGCGCCGCTGCTCGGGCCCAACTCAGGACAGGTCGACATGGGGGCGCGCCAGAATCCGATGTGGTCCCTGAACGAGAAGTGGCTACACTGGGGCTCCGTGATGCTAAGCCAGAGGCTCTTGGCCCACTGCAAGGCTGGTGTAACAGATTGGCGCCACACGGGGTCCCCATGAAACACGTTTTGTGCCGTGAGGCTCGCATCTCGGTGCGCAGGGGTCTTGCCAAACATTAGCATCGATCGAAGTTCAGCGAGGTCGCGGTCCGAGAGACCCCAAATCATGCTACCACGACCAGCTGCTGGCCGAACCCCAGCCACATAGATGTTGTTTATCCTGGTCCTGTCTCTGGGGACCTTCTGCTTGCAGTGTTCGAGTATCTTGTTACGCACTCGCACGTCATGAAAATGTCGGCGTCGACGCGCTCGTGCATAATGGCTGCCTAGAGGTTGGCCTGGCGCCAAATCCACGCCAAGAGAAACTGTAGAGTTAGCGGCCGAAGACGGCATAATGGGAAATGGCGCTTCTGCAGCTTTGTGGCATTGCGACCCGACGAGGCGAAGGAGACCGCCTTGTCCTCTGCTGGTTGCACGCCAAGCCCGTTGTGAAAGATCCACTTCACATCCCGAGCCGCCTGGGTGCAGGCTGATATGACAAAGTCATCTGGGCCGTGCGCTGAAACCGCATCGTCGTCCACGTAAGGATCTAGACGCACGCCAGGATTTCGCGCGGCCGAAGCATCAAACTCAAGCATAGCGTACGCCTTCACACGTACATAGTTAAATCTGCCACCTGCTGGGAGGCCACACGTCGCATACGGTATGAGAGGGCAGTGGTGGACCCCGAGCCTAAGTATACGAGGGGACCTCCAGAGGTTATACGACAATATGATGAGCACCTGGAGGATCCTCCAGTATATGGCCCTGCCGCGGAGCCATTCCGACCTGAACGCTTCATAATACTTCATACCGGCCCACAGAAATCCTGCAGTAATCTCGCCCTGAATGGAGGTATCCTCAGCCCGGATGGTTTGTTGCCATCATATAGAGACTTCGTGAAGGGGCCCTGGGACACACAAATAAATACACACACATAAAAATATTCCCCATACTTTCCTATAGTTTCTGGGTTTCTGTCTTCCCCCCACTTCCCATATTTCCCCATATTCTCCTGGGAATCGACGATTAATTGTGTCTGTTTTTTTCCCCCCCCTCCTGACTTCGGCCGACTGGCCAGCCCCAAAAGACCGGCCCGAGACCTCCCGTGG